TATAACCGGCATGCCCATATTGATGAAAACCAATAATCAAATCAATATAATCGCTAACAATTAATCAATTGATATAGACATTGATGAACATCAATGATCAAGAGAGTTAAAAGTATCAATTTTCATTGGTTGTCATTGATTTTGCTAGTTTTATTTCAATAGCAGATTTGCAAGTTGTCGTCATTTGACTACAACTAACAGAATTCCTTTTGTTTTTCTTTATCATTTAAATTTTAAATTCCCAGTGGGGCTTAAATAACAATTGCGCTAATAAGCACGAGAAACAAAAAGTCAAGGATTCTGGTAGTTGTTAGTCAAATGACACCATCATGCAAATTGCCTGTTGTAGCAAAAAACGTAATGCTTAAGAGATTTGCTTTAACTTTTTTCAATTGCTGTCTCTATATCCAGCAGAGGGACAGGTTTTTCAAAATACTCTGTGTTCAGCAGTCAAAATTGTTTTTTTTTGTAAATCTCAGTTCATAATTTCAAATTCTTGTTTTATACGGCTGAATACTTCACTATTTCCACCATAGTGTGAATTTTGGTGAGCCTGGCACCCGGTATATACCAGGATTTATAACGTAAACTAAATGACCAGCAGTCAAAACGTTTTTGTAGTTTAGGCTAAATAGCACTCCAGTTAGCCTAAAAAGTACTCTGGTTAGCCTGAATAGCACTCCAGTTAACCTGAATAGCTCTTCAGTTAGCCTGTTTACAGTTAGCTATCAAATGCTAAGGGTAACTCTATAAATACTTAAAAAATTAGGAAAACTGCCAGCTGGTTATGGTGGCACAGGGGTCATAAGTATCGCTCACCATGCCGTGATGTGGGGTTGATTCCTCTTGCGGTTGCCTGTCACAATGTTCTTTTTATGTTGTTCTACATAATGAAAGTCTCACTGCCAGACACTGAGTATTTCAAAATTCCTGTCCAGCTACCGGATATGTAGCCACTGGCACAGCGTTTTTTAATTGTTCATGATGAAAGCAAAGGAAATTGGTAATTTTTCAATCCCATTTTGCTTTGACTGAAATTGCTGTCTTGATCATCTCATTCACGTTTTAAACTCTGTGAATGACAGTAGCATCCCACTCTTTAATAATGCGATTTAGATAATTTTACCTCGTTCTTGCCTTAATCCTTTAAAACCCTCTTTGAGCGGCAAAGTCAAGAAAACGAGCCGGCGGATTTGTCAGAGAATCCAGTATCGAGCTTGAGTGCCAACAAAACTGCCAGTTATGCGGTCAATACAAAACTCTCACCATTATTTACTGACCTTACATGTAGGTTATTTTTTGTGTTAACTCTTAAA